CTTTTAGTTAATGTCACGCTAACTATAGCTTTTAGCTATGTTTGTTTCATGCTAAGGTTTTACAAGTTTTAGCTTCTAGTTCCACTTTAGCAACTTTTATCTCTTTACTACAGTTTTTTTTCTTTTACCTTTTAGTACTGGATTTGCTACTTGTATCTACATTTTTTTTTATTTTAGCTTTAGCTCGTGTTTTGCTAGTTTCAACTTTTAGCTACAGTCATGCTCATTTTAAATTTTAGCTGTTTTTTTATACGTTTATTCTTAAGCTATGGTTTTCTAAACTTTAGTTTTTTGCACAAGCTCTACTATTGTTAGTTTTTAGCAATGTTTAGCTACTTTTAGTAACTATTTTAATAGTTTTAGCTTCAGTTGTGCTACTTTTACATTGTAGCAACAGTTTTGCGTGCTACATTTAGCTGTTAGTAAAATTTTCTACTTTTCACTATGATGTTTTATTTGAGCTATATATTGCTAATTTTAACTTTTAGCTGCTCATGCTAATTAGACTTTTGCTTATTTTTTTTAATTAATTTTATCTTTTTAGCTCTATTTTTATACTTTTAGATATTCATTCATTCATTCAACCTTTATTTAAACAGACGAATCATGTTGAGCCTAAAAGACTCATTTATAAGTGAGATCTGTTTGGACGGACAAAAAAGTGGTAAACTGGACTTAATAACTGTAGCTTTTAGCTACAGTTTAGCCAATTTTAGCTTTTAGCTGCTGTGCCAGTTTTAACCTTTTAGTCTTGATTTTTTTTGTGGTAATTTTATGCTGCAGCTGTTATTCTTTTAGTATTTAGCACCGATTTTGCAACTTTTAGCTTTTTCCTACGATTTTGCTTTTTTTACAAATCAATTTTGCAACTTTTAGCTGCAATTTCTGCTTTAGCTTAAAGCTCCAGTTTTTCAAATTTTAGCTTTTAGCTAATGTCATGCTACTTCTAGTTTTTTATCTGTTCCTGAAATTAATTTTGGCCTCGAGCTTCAGTTTTTTTCATTGTAGCTTTTACCTCTAGTTTTGAAACTTTTAGCTACAAGCTGTTTTATCTTTAAGCTGCAGTTTTGTTAACCTGCTCTTTATCTTACAAACGCAAAACGTTAAGCTGATGTCTTGAGTTTCTGCTAGCTAAAACTGTGACGTGACGCGTGCTGAACTGAGGAGCAGGTTGTCAGAAACAACTGAAAGGTCGACCGGAGGCGGATTGTTCGCCGCTCGACTCGCTGGTTTCCTTCATGAAAGGCCACGGTTCTGTCGCCGTGCACCAACACTGAGCTGAAGCAGAAACATGCATGACACACATATGTGCACGTTTCCTGAAGGAACTTCTTTTTGTCCTGCAGCGTCCCAGGGTTAAGGTGAGGAACGTGAAGGTTCAAGAAGGGACACGAGATCTTTCAGAGGCTTCAACAAAAGGTCTGAGCAGGTTTCGGCTGTTTGGAGCCGCAGCTCCAGTTCACCTGAAAGAAAAGCCTCGCTCTTTCTCTTTCTGCCACTTTCGGCCTCTTTCTCGTACTCCGGCTGTGAGTTGTGGTTCTTCGCATTGTTATCGTGGCTGTCATCGCTCACAATGAGAAACAGTGTGCGTTCGAGGGGTGGGGGGAGGAGCGGACACCGAGAACGACACAGGAAAAGAAGGAGCAGCAGAAAGAACGAGCTTGATGGAGCACAAAGGAGAAAACGCAGAAAACCTCAAACTCTTTCTAATGAAGGGGGAACTCTGCACGGAAAGAAAACTTTTCTTTCCTGTTGTTTTGGCTGCTTCTTCATTTGTTGCATCCTAATCGTGGCCGTTGATTCGGAGTCATCATGGGCAACAAATTGCTCTCAGATCACAGCGGCCTCTCCGCAGCTCTTTAATGGGACATGTTTAAGCAATTATCAGCTGGTTGGGTCGAACAAGGCAGGCTGGCAGACAATCCGCACGTCTAAATGAAAGTTGGAGGCCGCACCCAGGCCACGTGTTGCCATGACTACCTGGCACATGGCGCTGGGGCATGTTGAGTGCACGTGTGATTGTTGACGAACGCTTCATGACGAAGTTCAGTCGGCGCCGCCTTTCGTTCCGTCCAAGTCTTCATAACTGGACAGACTGATCGCGCAAGAGACTCCGAGGCAAAGCAAGAAACTTGTTTACTTGTTTATTATCGTTTGGCAAAATGTGTTTTTCAGCATTAATGATTATTATTGAACGGGGGAAAAAATGAAGTAACATTCCTTAAAGCAACGTGCACCCCGTGGCACCTTGAGAATCGCCTTAACGGGGCGACGAGCAAGCTTAAAATCTTTGGGTGGCACCAGAACTGAAAGCCGGAACAAAGATGCAGGTGACTTGTTATGTTATAGTCATATATTTGTTATTATTTATTATTATTAAGAAATGATGTTTGGTTGTTTTTATGTTTACGAGGCTCTTCTAATCCTAAACACCCGGGGTACATTGAAAAGTACACAACAAGCAACAGCTCTGGATTTAGATAAAACTGTGTCAGGCTAATTAGACCCAGTGGGGATGGGGCACCAGGTTTCTGTTTTTTTAGGGGTGGCTATTGCCTTCCATGGTCCCCCCTTGGTGGCACCCCTGTGTAGATCCACTTGGCATGTTAATGTTTAAACAACTATTTTAAGCTATCTGGTGCTCGAAGTAGGTGATAGTGGTGACTCTCAGCTACCACATTTGATAAATATGGTGTAACTATTTTAAAAACTAAATATAAATGCTAAATGTTTCAAAAACTGACCAAACTATAACATCAGCTGGACAGCACTGAATAAAGAGCCCTATTTTTTAACCCATCTTAATACATTTGAAAGTAATTAAACCAGAGAAATGTCTATTTGCAGAAAAAAAATACTTTTAAAAAATCCCAAGAATTAATAAGCAAGCTAGTAGAATTTACTTTAGCGTTGTAGCTAATGGTTTTACAGTTTGGTTTGTTAAATCTATTTAAAACAAATTCTTGTTTTATGATATTCAAATCCCAGAAACTGTATTAAAAAAACAAACAATTTAATTATTTTATTGAGGAATAAGCAACAAAGTGGACCTATTTTGCTAAACCAGGCTAGCATTAGCAAGTTTTTGAAAGAAGCGTTTCTAATAGCCTTTTAGCTAGGCTAACTAGCAGCTAGCTTTAAAGGAACGTTGTTAATCTGTAGGGACACACTTAATGATCGAATAATTTTTTTAATTACATTTAACCTTTTATTTCTACAGGTGAGTCTAAAAGAATGATGACAACAGCAGACCATCATTAAAAACACGTATAAAATGAAAAGTAAATGGAAGAAAGTATAATACAAAAACAGCTACATTATAAAGCGACGTAAACTAAGAAATAATAAGAAAAGTTTGCAGCTGAGTGTTGAAATAACCTTTTAACTCAAGCTAGTTAACACGTTAATCTATAGGAACATATTAGTTAGCAGCTAGCTTTTAAAAGAACTGCTGTTAATCGAAACAACAGCTTTTAAAGTCGGCTATTTAGCTGCTAGCTTGTGAAAAACTGCTGCTAATTTGTAATTAAAGCCTTTTTTAACCCGTTTAGATAAATGTTTAGATAAAAAACAAAACTATTATTAAAGTGTAAGAAGCACACTGTTTAAGATGGCTTATGGCTCTTTAATGAAAGCTGGATTATTTTAAGCTTGTCATGATCACCTTTTTTAACACCGTTGTGCTAACTTATTGTGTAAATAAAGTTTTGTTAAAAATCAAATCTTCTTCTTCTTTATTTTAGCATTCTTGAAGCATTACCGCCACCTGCTGGTTTGGAGGGTAAACTGGAATTGAGCTAAAAATGAAAAAAATAAATAAATCCATCCATAAGAATGTGGAGGATGGAATGTGACAAATAAATAAATAAAACAAAAATAAACAAAATGTGGACCCACATCCAAGGAGCTGTATATATGATGCTAATTAGCAGCTAGCCTTTGGAATAATAACAGTGTATCCTGATGCATGCTCAATAATCCAGGTAGAAAAATCTAAAAAAGTTAAATCTGGTCCTCTGGACATTCAAAAAAACAAAACAAAGCAAATCAACAAAAAAATGTAGAAACGTTTCGTCTCTCATCCTGAGGACTTCCTCAGTCTGAGGTGCTGTATTCAGCTCAGTCTCTTAAATAGCATCTTCTCAGGGTGGATCAACCAGTTTTGCTGCTGACAAGCAAAACCAGCTGATCACATGCTCAAGAAGGACCATCAGCCTAACAATGGATCATTAGCACACTGATGGCTGTTTACTGTTCACAGAGGGCTGAGGAAGTCTCTCGGATGAGAGACGAAACGTTTCTACATTTTGTTGATGTTTTGCTTTGTTTTGTTTTTTTGAATGTCCAGAGGACCAGATTTAACTTTTTTCAGAGTGTAAGTTGTACACTTTTATGAATATTCCTCAAAGATAAGTGAAATATTCAGGTATATGTACATATACCTGTGTCCATAAATAACTGTATGTTTGTGCAATGCAGAAAAAAAGGAAGAGGCAGAGTCATCCAATCTAGGTCTGGTCAGAATGAAAGGAATAAATAAACTGCAGGGCAACATTTGAAACAGTCACCTGTAATAAAAATAATATAAAAAAATTACACATAAAATACAGTCTAACTCAGCAGGAATAAACTTTATGAAAATATGTATATACATTTATGACTATAATATATATAAATGTATGTATTTATTTATAAATGTATTTGTTTATTTATTAACAGGTCTCTCTTGTAAATGAGTCCTCATGACTCAACGAGACTAACCTGTATTAATAAATGTTGAATTAATGAAAGTTAGAGGTATGGGACATAAATATTTTTAATAAGCGGAATGTAAACGTACAGTTTAAAAGATATAATATTCTATATTAAACCGTGTTTTTCCACCGTTGAAATCTTTATTGGTCTTGCTGTTCCGCTCTTCGTCGCGTGGGGGCAGCAAAGCGCACAGACGCTGTTTGGCAGCTGCTTAATAAAACCGTAGAAGAAGAAGAGGCGCAGCAATGGCGGCGCTCCAAGCAGCGTTGGACCCTGTCAGACTGAAATGTTTACTTTCTTTACTTCTGCTTCACTTTTGTCGGATTTCTGCCGAGCAGCTGGAGTGGGATGACAGCGGATACGTGTTGTACTGCCCCTGCATGGGTAACTCTGTACTTTTAGCTGAATACTTTTGATTCTCCATCGCTCAAACTCAACACAAACTTTGTTCATAGTAAAAGTTTGAAGTTCGATGTGTGTGAACCGAGAATCAATCGGTCCAGAAAAGTGTCGTAACGTAGCGCAAATTGTGTATTAACACGTAAAAGATGAAACAAATGCTCAAAGATTAAACAGTAAAAAGAAGGTCGGGTTGTAAAGTTTTAGATCTTGTCCAGGTCGCTTTGGGAACCAGGCAGACCACTTCCTGGGATCTCTGGCCTTTGCTAAGATGCTGAACCGAACCCTGGTGGTCCCTCCCTGGATTGTGTACCGGCACCACACACCACCTTACACCAATGTAAGTACAGTCCGGCCCCCACCCATACTCGGGTATTTTAGAAGACAAACATCAAATCCTGCGCGATGTAAGAAGTTTCTAAAGGAATGCATATCGCCCGCCGCCTTCCACAGCAGAGGGTTAACCAAACGTTGTGATTTGATGAGAATACTTTTAGCCTTTTTGGTCAAACCTCAAGATTTAACAACCTCGTTTATGTTGAGACTCGTCAGGACTCAGAGTTTGTGTTGAGGATCACCTTCAGCTACTACCACGCCGAACTTTAGCTCGGCCTCTGGAAAAGAGCTCTAGATGTTTCACAGTTTCATCAAAATCCATCTTAATACACTTCAAAACTCAAATTTTAGGCCATGAAAAGCTACAAATGCATCCAGATTTTTAATTGTAGGTGTGATGTCGGGTCATGCTGCGGTGGCCGCCATCTTTAATCAGGTTGACTCTAGAGGGGAATGAGTTTTTGTAACGAGTTTCGAGGGGGACCTGGAAATTCAACCACACAGGAGTGAAGGAAAAGATTCGACTGTTTGTCAGGAGGACCACTCCTGCGGGAGAAGATCAGCTGAAACTGTGCAGGGAGAGAGAACAGGTTGGTGACTGGGGTGGTCCGGAGACCCCGAGAACGAGAGGTTCTGGAACTGCAGAGTTTGGTCACGGGTGGAGATGCAGCAGCTGCGATGACGTCAGAGGGAGGTTCAGTCAGATCACGAGACACGTGAGCGAGACCTGGAAGGTCCAACAAACACTCCTCTACAGCTCGTGGAGCTTGGTTCTGGAAGTGTCCGGGTTCTGAGGTCATGGTCAAACTGCAGACGTGGAGAAGGCGACACTTATCCGAGGGTTTAGTGAGAATCGTTGGTCAGAAGGCAGAGAGTCGAGGTCCAGATGTCCGATGAGCAGAAGTTATCCGTCATGGGCGAGGCAAAAAGAGGAGTCTGGTCATGGAGCGGGTCGACAACAAGAGCAGGAACTGGATCACTGGATCACTGGATCACTGGATCACTTCAGGAGACGGTCAGATAATCTGGCAGAGACTGAGGAACACTTAAGGAGCACAGCTGAGCTGAGTGGAGCAGGTCCAGGGCAGACGGAACATACATGGACACGAAGCACGACAGTTTTATTAACAACTGTCCTGCTTCAGGAGATATTTTGCTAACAAACCCACACAGTTTAAAGCTGGACTGTCCTGTAGTCTTCTGGTGATGAGAAGCAAACAGTTCTGTTGTTTCTGGACCCACTTGGCTTCATCAGTGTGTTCGATGGCGACTCAACCTCCTGCTGCCCTCGGGTCAAAATGACCCACGAGGCCCCCGCTCTGAACAGCGCGGACGCCAGCGTTCTTCGTGGAGATGAAGCTGCTCATCTTCGTCACCCGCAGCAGTGGATCCAGTGAAAACTGATCGAGGGATTAAAGCGCGAGGGAAAAGAACAAACGGGAACGACGACGCATCGTTACCCGCAGGTTGATCGTGGAAGAGCCCGAAGTCTGGATCTTCGTCCTGTGCGGTTTGTAATTCATCTCGTTCCTCGTCGTTAACGGCAGCAGACTCTGAAGTACGCCTGTCGCAATTAATCAATTAATCAATTAATCAGTTAATCGCATGATGAATGAAAATTATCGACCTCATTTTCATTTATCGACTTTATCGTTTCTTCGTGTCTCTCTCTTTCTACTGAAGACACTCGATGACAAAAGGCTCGACTCCGGTTCTTCACTGACCCCTCCCTTTCTCTTTAAAATCTGTTTTAACGATTCAAAATCACGTTGATCGTTAAAAGCAGCTGAGTTGAGAAGCTAAGCTACGAGCTAAGCTAACAGGCCGACCTCGGGGAAAAACCTCCGTCTTGTTGAAGCTCCAAAGCACCACCCTCCCATTTTATAAAGAAGCACGCTGCTCGCTCCCTCACTATCCATCCTTCGGTTCAAGCTTATACTGCCATCCGGTGGTTGAAAAAAGGTACTACATGCAAAACTAAATAAGATAGAAAACATTTCTTCTTAAATTTTACATGAATAATTAGTCAAATTTCAAACAATATTATCGTTTATCGCAATAATTTCTGAGACGATTAATCGCTCAGCTACATTAGTTATCGTGACCGGCCTCCTCTGAATGTGGCTCTAAACTTCGTGTGGCACAAATCTGAAGTCGCTTCCGGTTCGCACACCGGACATGACTTTTTTTTATTATTATACCAAAATATTATCGATCACCGTCTAAAGTCGTGAGCGGTTGGATGTTTTCTCCACCCTCCACCTCAAATGGAGCTCCAAACATCTCAAACTGTAAACTTTATTATTATTAATGTGTTATTATTTACAAGATCATTTTGAATTAACTTGATTATCGGATAGTTTCTTAATAGTCGTCTTCTAATTTATAAAGTTATGAAGCTCTTTGATCAATTATAAATACGTGTATTGAAGATGAATAATTTGTAAAGATCTTTATAATAAACTGGACCTGGTTATTTTGTTCTTCTTTAGGTTAATTACCCGTTCTTTGTTTTATGTCATTCCTTCGTTATTTTTGTCTTTCGGAGCATTACCAGAGAGAAGTGCAACATTATCATTTAAAGCTTATTTATTTTTATTTATTTAGTCTCGTGGAGTCACGAGGACTCTTATTTTTATTGTTTTAGATAAAAGTGTGATTAAAACATCTTAGTGTCATTTTGAAACCAGGTAAGAAACGAAAATTCAAATTTATGGAAAACTTTTAACGGAGTTCTTTGTTGATTAAAATGATAAAAAGTTGCATTAAAGCAGTTTATGAACTTTATGTGATTATTAGTTTATCGTTTGGTTTTATTGGTGGAAGAATCGATCGATTGTTTTTTCTTGGTTTAGTATTAAAGAGCAGAACTTTCATTTCCACTCGTGAAATTTGTGTTGTTCAAATATTTAAACGTAAAAACTCAATAATTCAAACGAACGTTTGGTTCGAGCGTGAAGTAAAACTCGACCTGAATCTTCTTCCACTTCTTGTTTCCTTCTGGTGGTCAGGTTCATGTTCCCTACAGCGACTTCTTCCAGCTGGAGGCTCTGTCGGCCTTCCACCGCGTGGTCAGTCTGGAGGACTTCATGGAGAAGCTGGCCCCCAAGCACTGGCCCCCGGGCCGGAGGAGGGCCTACTGCTTTGAGGCTGCGGCCCAGCGGAGCGCAGACAAGAAGTCCTGCCCCATGAAGGTCCGAGAAAACCCCTGAAACCGACTCTTACCGCAGCCTCGGCTCTTTCTAGATTATCAGACAAAGTTGGTGAGTAGATGAAATATTTCCTTCTGTCCTGCGTCATCGAGGACCCCAGGTGGACCCCCGGGTGTAAACCCTGACCCGACGTGGATCTGAAGGGACCGTTGGGGATCACCGGTCACCTGGTGCTGACGTGAAACCTTCACCTCACACAAAAGTTTATCACGACTCGCATTTCACTTTAGAACAACTCATTTTCCCCACAAGCTTTGGGTTAATATAATTTTAAATATAAACTAGAGAAATCGCATTTCCTGCGAAAATGCAGCGAGAACGCTTATTCCTGAAAAACAGCCGAAATTAGCTGAAATCGCTGAAATGGAAGAACAAGCCTAAGTTAGCAGAAGAAAGCAGAAACAACATGTTTGCTGATTTTTTTTCATTCATTCAGCTTTTATTCAGACAGGTAAAGAGAAATGGACACAAAATTTAGGACATTGGCTAAAAACAGCTTAAATTTGCACAAAAAATAGCTGAAAGGTAGCTGAAAAGGCAGAAAGAAGCTTAAACAATCGGAAGGAAACAGCTGAAATTAGCCCAAAAAATGTGGAGCTGAAATTAGCATAAAACAGCTAAATGGTAGCTGAAATAGCAGAAAAAGCTGAAAGTAGCAGAAGTAACTTGAAAGGAGCACAATGAGCTGCAATTAGCTGAAAGAAGTTAATTTGGCTGAAAGTAGCAGAAATTATCACAAAAAACTTGAATTTATCTGAAAACAGCTGAAATTAGCTAAAAAGGAGCTGAACAAGTAGAACAAGCTTAAACTATCAGAAGATAACAGAAGAAACGTGTTTGCCCAATTTGGCTGAAAGAAGCAGAAATGAGCACAACAGTGTGGAAATTATCTGAAAAAAGCTGAAATTAGCAAAAAAAACCCAACAACTGAAAAGTAGATAAAAGGCCGAAAGCAGCTTAAATTATCAGAAGGAAATGGAAAGAGCCCATTTTTGCTGAATTAGGTTGAAAAAAGTTGAAACGAGTGCAAAAAAAAAAGTGGAAGTAGCTGAAAAAGCTATAATTAGCTTAAAAACAGTTAAATAGTAGCTGAAATAATGGAAACTTGCAGAAATAAGCTGACAGGAGCATAACGAGCTGAAATTAACAGGAAGACGTTAAAAGAAGCTCAACTTTATTGTAGTTAGCAGAAAGAATCTGAAAGGAGCACAAACAGCTGAAAAAACAGCTGAAAGTAGCTGAAGCAGAACAAAATGTGAAAGGAGCAGTAAAAGGTTGTAAACAGAGCTAAAGATCTGAAGGAGGTGAAATGAGATCGATTCATTTTCTCTGAGGATAAAATGTCAGAAAAGGCCAAATATTTCAAACAGCTAAAGTTGCACCAATACCAAAAGTCACAGCAGGATGGTCCTGAAACAGCCGAACGTTTTGATTAGTTGAAATCGTTTGTTTGACTCGGAGCTCCTTCCTTGTTGCACTAATTACCACAGAAGAAGAAGAACGGGGGTTCTTTTGAGGATGAGCCAGGAGCTGCTGATCAGATGTATTGATTAACTGATCGTCATCAGAGGGACCGTCTCACTTGCAGGCGTGTCAACGTCAAGGTGGAAAGGCATCAGCAATGACCTCAGAGGAGCAGCTCTGGCGCCCGTCAGTCTGGGAAGGGTCAAAGGTCATGTCCAGACTGACTGGAGTCCGTGGTTCTGCAGAGATCGTTCACGAGTGGAAAACAGTTCTGAGGGTAACGTTGTAAAAAAGAGTGGGCCAGTTTTCCTCCACAACCATTCCAAGACCAGTATGTTTGATTAGGTCCTGATGAAACCCAAGAACTGAAAGTGTGAGAATTTTAGTTTTTCCATGACTCAAAAAAAAAAAAAAAGCTAAAGTTCCTGTTCAGTTGTCTGATCCGGACCGTTGGTTCTGGTGTCTCTCCAGGACGGGAACCCGTTCGGTCCGTTCTGGGATCACGCCGGCGTCGAGTTCGACGGGTCGGTTTTGTTCGGAGGGATTTCCTTCAGCTCCTACCATCAGCCGCAGTGGATGAAGAAGTAAGTGCATGATGACGGTGTGGTTCTGAAAACGGTTTATGTAACCAGAAGAGTGCACGTCTGTTAGCGAAATATCTCGTGAACCACGGGACGGGTCGATGAAGCTCCCTGGATGTTCGACTTGAACGACCCAGTTTAAGATGGCTGCCACGGCTGATTGACAGTTGTACAAACGTTGAGCTAAAATTCGATGTGGTAGTAGCTGAGAGTCGGGCGAGTGGTGGCACAGTGGTTAAAGAAGGCGAGCCTGTGATCGGAAGGTCGCCGGTTTGACAACATCAAAACCTCCACCCTCATTCGCCCCACTCTGAGCCCTTGAGCAAGGCCCTTCACCCCCACCATGCGCTCCCCGGGCGCCCTAGATGCAGCTCTCTGCTCCACAGAGGCTGTGGCAGCGCGGTGTCTGTGGCTGGTCAGGAAGAACATCTGGCGTAAAAATAATAGTCAAGTCTTTGTGCGACAGTTTGCTGTGGCGACGCCTAAAGAAGGAGCAGCCGAAAGAAGAAAAATCAATTTAATAAATCTGCTGTGATTATCGGCTGCGATCGTTAAATGTTGTCAACATTTGTTCTGAACCACTGTCTGGACTGAACTAAACTTTCAGGAACCAATCACTGGACATGCGTCCAAAAATGAACTTTGCAGCCAACCTGACCTTTTTTCAGTAAATTCAGAGAATAAAAGAAAAAGATTAAAACAAGTAAACTTTACAGGTATCGACCTAAAGTTAATGTGTTCATAACTGAGAATCATCCACAACATATTTTCTGAGTGACAACAGATTAAACAAAACCTTCAGTTAAAACTTATAATCTAGCTGTTTTTGTTACTTTTTTTTTGCCAGTTTGTTAAAAAAACATCTGTATGCCTTTTTATAACTGTCCACTGTTGTCATCACTCTTTGTTAAAATCAGGTCTCTCTTG